AAAAGACCAGAACTAAGTAGAAACTTTGAAATACAAACATGGTTCTTGAGAAACAAAATCAGAAATACATTTAAGCAATCAGAATGGACTCTACAAGAATGAAGTATTTACATTTTAATAGAAAGAGGGAAACCTAGTGTCTTCTCAGAACTGTAATGTCAAGAGTCACATAAGGTGTAAGGGTCTGTAATGGTTTTGTCGTTCTTATGATCTTAAAAGAAGAAGGAAAGGAGGAGGAGAAAAGAAATATACTTAAGGAAGGAGGAAAAAAGGATGGGAAATTTACCTATCTTAGATAATCTGGGTGCTTAAGATTAAAGAAGACTATACAGAGAAGAAGAATGTGTGAAAGATAGTGGACATCACTTGAATCTTACTTTGATCTGAATCAGTCAAAAGAGTTTTCTCCCCTGCAGAGTTTGTAGAAATACATAGAACTAAGTGGGGAGATAGGAGAGAACTTGAGAGAGGTATGACAAGAATTTAAAGAGGGAAGGGGAGAGATAGGATTGGTGAGAGATTAGTTATAAGCCAAAGAAACTGTAACACTGGAAGTTGGATGGTTAATGGGCAACTGAAAAGAAAGATGAAAAATCTGTGATTAGGGGTGGAAAAGAGGAGAAGAGCTGAGTAAAAATTGCTTTCATTATATATATGTAGTGTTAAACACATTCCTTTTCTTTCACAACTGGAGTGAGAGGGGAGAGGGGAAAAGTACTAGAGGGTAGGATGGAAGGAAATATGATTAAAAATAAAAACTGGTAACCCGAATTGGGTAAACTCACCCACAAAATGGAAAATAATAAAAAAGATTAGAAATTAAAATATGACACTATATTATTTATAAAAAATACTTGAAACAAAGATTCACACAGATAAAGGGCTGGAGTAAAATCTATTCTGTATCACCTGAACTCAAAATACCAGGTGTAGTGACCATGATCTCAGACAAGGCAACAGCAAAAAATGGACTTGATTAAAGGGAAGAAACAGGAAAATTACATTTTGCTGCAAGGTACCATAGATAAATAATTAATAGTGATAACTTTATATATGTTGACTGAAAGGTATAGCATCCAAATCATAGGTGTCAAATGTGTGGCCTGCAGGCCTGTGATCTGCAAAACTCCCAGGTGTAGCCTAAACAAGATTAAAATGTAATTGGGATATAAAATAAATACAAATGCAGTAAAACATAGATGTTTTATTAATGATTAGCATGAGGTTTTCTAAGTCAATATGCACTTGAAGGTATCCTTATATATAGCTTAGTGGCTTCTGTTTCTATTTGAGCTTGATACTAAATATGTTAAGGCAAATCCAAACAAGTTATAGGGAGAAATAAGTCTCTAAAATTATACCAGTGGGGACCTCAGTTTGTACCCTTATCAAGCCTAGACAAATCTAACAAAAAGATAAACAGGGAAGAAGTTATGTATCTGAATAGAAATTTTAGATATGATGGATCTCTGGCATTTATTGAAATGGGAATAAAAAGGAACATATATTTTAAAAACTCATACCTTGACAAAAATTGATCACATATATTAGGGCAATTAAAATTTCATTAATAAGGGCAGAAAAACAGAAATATTAAATATTCTTTATTAATCATAGTGCAAAAAAGTGTGTTCAACAAAAGACCATTGAAGAAAGGATTAAAAATTCATTGGGGGCTATAACTTAAATATAAATGATGTGTTGGTCAAAGAGCAAGTCATAGAAACAGGAGATAACTAAAATGAGAAAATATACCAAAACTTGGGGGTACAACTAGTGTAATCCTTAGGGGGATATTTCTCTCTGTAAAGGATTTTACCAACAAAAGAGGTCATGATCAGTGAACTTGGCATGCAACTAGAGAATTAGAAAACCAGCAAATTAAAAAACACCAATTAAACATCAAAAGAGAAATTGTGAAAATCAAAGAAAAGCAATAAAATTGAAAGCAAAGAAAAAATCCTATTGAATTAATAAAATTAAGTATTGGCTTTTTTAAAGGGGGAAACAAACAAAATAGATGAATTATTAGCTAATTAACTTTTAAAAAGAAAGAAGAAAACCAAATTGGTATCAAAAATTAAAATGGTCACAACAAATGAAGAGGAAAAAAAAGAAATTATCTAAAATGATATTCCCTGACCATATGCCATCAAAACAAAGGAAGTGGATAAATATTTACAAAAAAAGGTTAAGTGCCCAGATTAACATAGCAAGAAAAGCGGAATTTAAATAATTCCATCTCAGAAAAATAAGTGAACAAGCCATAAATGAACTCCTTCCACCCAGAAAAAAACAAGACCAGACAGATAATACAAAATTCATTGAATGAACAGTTAATTCCAATAATATAAATCTGTTTGCAGAAATAGGAAAAGATCAGATACTACCAAATTCTTTTTGTGATACAAATATGATCTTAATACCTAAACTATGGAGAGTCAAAAAAAACTTGTAGACAAATATCTCTTGATGCATAGCTACACAAAATTTTAAATGAAATATTAGTACAAAGACTACTACTTTAACATATAAGAAAGATTATACACTTTGACCAGGTTGGTTTTATACACAGAAAGGAGAGTTGAATGTTAGAAAATTGATTTTTAGACTATTAATGTTAAAATATTACTAAGAACAATGAGAATAATGTAATTATATCAATGATGCAGAAGAAGCTTTTAAATAGAACACTTGTTCCTGTGAAAAGCATAGGATTAAATGGACTTTTCCCTGATATAGCAAATATTATCTATCCAAAATTAAAAGCCAGCATTATCTGAGGTATTGGAGCAGCCACATGATTCAATGGATAGAATGCTGGGCCCAAAGTGTGGAAGTTGGAATCCAGTGACCTGGGCAAGTCACTTAACCTTTACTTGCCTCAGTTTTCTCAGCTGTAAAAGGAGGATAATAACAGCACCTATTTCCCAGGATTGTTGTGTGGATCAAATAAGATAATATTTGTAAAGAACTTAAGCACAATGCCTGGCACATAGTGTGTATTTATGATGCGTATTCCCTTCCTGACACCCCTACATGCAATGAGAATAAATTAGAGGCGTTTTTAATGAGATGAGGAAGGTGGCAAAACAAGCATGAGTGTGAGTGGAACTTCAGCATTGCTTTAATTTACATTTCTCTAGTTTTTAGTGATTCAAAGCATTTTTTCATGTGTTGATGGCACATATTTCTGCCTCTTTGTACAATAATGCATTGTTGATGGAACAACGAATTGGTTGGTACAGCCATTCTGGAAAGCAATTTGTAACTATCCCCCCAAAGTCAGTAAAATGTGTATATTCTTTGAACTAGCGTACCACTACTAGACCTGTACCCCAAAAAGATTAAAAAAAGAGTGAAGGTGCTCATGTACAAAATACTTTTAGCATCTCTTTTTGTAGTGACAAAGAACTGCAAACTAAGGGGAGCGCACAATGTCAAAAGTGATAAAGGGGCAGTTTCAGAGATATCTGGGAAGACTTTCATGAACTGATGCAGAGTGAAGTGAACTGAACCAGGAGAACAAGTTATATAGTAACAACAAGATTGTTAAGCCAGACAACTTCGAATGACTTAAGATCTCTTAATGTGATGCCCAATTATGATTCCAAAGGACCTATGATGTAGCCTGCTACTTACCTCCTGAAAGAGAGGTGATGGACTCAGGATGCAGCATGAGGCATACAATTTTGGATATGACCATTTGTTTTTGGTTTACTATACACAAGTGTTGCAAGGATTTTTCCTTTCCTTTTTCAATTTGTAAAGATGAAGAGTGGGAAATAGAGGAAATAAAGCTTATTAATTTAACATGAAATAGATATTTAAAATTATGACATACTATTGAGATTATGATTGTTAGAACATGATCTAGATAGTATATAGAGTCATGAGTAAATTCTCCAAGGGGATGTTCCTTTGGGCAGAAACAAGTATTGTCAGAGCATGACCCTTAGAAAAATAATATGCTTAATTTACTTTTGTGAATAGTGTTCAAAATTGAACTTTTCTTTAATTGTCCTTTTTCCTAGTTCCACTTCTGGAACCTTAAATTTTAAGCCATTTCATGGAGTAGTTTTATTTAATTGAAATGATTGAAGGATACTAATAGAGAATTTGCACATACCTATTGCTAGTATAACTTTGGATGCAGAATTTGACAAATATACAAATATAGATAGATAGATCATACACATAAAAAGAGAGACAGAGGAAGAGAAGACTACCTGAATAGGAAAGGACATCCATTGTTACTCTTTGAGGACCTTATGATTCAAAACTACTGCTGCCCAGGAATTTTGAACACAATTGGCCATAAGGTTACTTGTCTCCCTAGTCTCTTCATGTTCTTCAAGAATTTTTTTTAAGAATTGGAAGGGACCTGTAGTCCAACCCATTTTTCCGATGAGGGAGCTAGGGCCCCAAGTGACTTGCCAAAGGTTACACTGCTATTAAGTGATAGAGCCAAAATTTGTACCTATGCCTTCTAACTCTCAGTCCAACATCCACTCTACTATACTATGTTGGCTCAGCTTTTTTCTACTTTTCACATTTTTTTACCTTCTGAATCACATTTCTGTTGTTCTTTTTCATGTGATTAGAAGTTTACCTCCTCTTTGAAGCCTTCAACAATTAGAGCCAGTTCATTTACCATTAATCACAGCATTCCTTTTCTAAGATGTTTATGTTTGTATGTACTTAAGGCTTATTTGTAATGCCTAATTATAAGCTTCTTAAGGTCAGAAATTCTGTCTCTAATATATAGCTGCTTAGAGTGAAAACTTAAGTCCATGGTGAGTGCACAGATGATTCATATTAAAATGCATTACTGAATTTATTTTTTCCTTTTGTTGTTTTTGTTATCTGAGTACTTAAGACTAAACAAAAATAATGAAGCTACTTTTTTTTTTCACTTAAAATGAACCTGTTGACTAATTCCAATACTAATTCATTTACTTCCTTTCTTCATTTTGCTCTAACCTACTCGGACTACACAGATCCTTTTTCTGCTACTGTAGATGCTGTTGATGATGCCATTCCAAGCTTAAATCCTTTCCTCACAAAATCTAGTGGTGATGTTCACCTCCCCATTTCTTCAGATGTATCCACTTTTACTACTAGGACACCTACTCATGAAATGTTTGTTGGTAAAGTACTATTTAACATATTTTCCCCCCAATTACTGTTTATATTGTCTAAATATTCTTGGTAATTAAAATAAGTGCCATAACTAGTTTAGTTTTCATTGACAAATCATAAAAGATAAACAGGAATAAAGTTACTTTTTGAAAAGTATAATATAAGTTTTTAGTTTCATTTAATTTAGGCAAAGTGATTGCCTGTCAGGTGAAAAGTTTTTTGTTGTTTTGAATTCAATGTCACATAGTGTGTTGTAGTATTCCAGTACACAGCCAGAAGATACAGGTTGCCTTAAGCATAATTTTTTTTATCATTTTTAATTTAAACTTCTGTTTTGTTTAACTATATTATAAAAAAGCTTGTTATCTGGTATGTATAAGCTTCCAGCTTAAAATGCCTAGTTCTGCCATAAACCTGAAAGTTAAAAAAATAAAAACAACCAATAAATTATCTAGTTTATTCCTGTAGTTGCGAAAGCGCAAGTTGACCTTAATGGTTTTTAGTAGTACTGTTATAAGACGTCCACAAGATGACCATGTCCCCGTAAGGTAAATGCCATTGAAAGTAGGTTTAATTGATTACTGAACCAGAGTAGTAATAGTAGTAGTATTAGTAATAATAATAATAATAATAATAACAATAATAATAATAATAATAACTAATATTGGTATAGTATTTTATAACCATATTTTGAATAATGCAGAATTGGTCAAAGGATCATTATAAAGAGAGTGAAGACATTTGAGGGTAAGAAAATGTCTTAGGTAAATACTGCTTTAGTCTTTGATTCTATAATTTTTTTTCAGAAAGGAAGTTATGAATTGAACAAAAATAGTTAATGTATTTTAACATGTTTTCTGAGACTGACAGTTGACAAGAAAAGCAAGCTAGTTATATGTAGTGGAAAGAGTGCTGTATTTGAAATCAGAAGACCTAAGTTCAAATTCTGACTCTGCTGCTTACTTCTTATGGGTACTTGGACAAGGCAGTTACAGTTGATGGGACTCAACTTGTTCAATTAAAAAAAAAAAGAGGAAGTTAGACTATGTGCTCTATAAACTTCCTTTCAACTCTAAAACGTTAAGATTGCATGATAACAAAACTTTTTTTTTTAAGAAAGCAAATTTTAAGGCATATATCTAGTAATCATTAAAGATAGTCTAATATAACTAGCTAAAGAATATTATAATTGATTATAATGAAGACATTGAGTCAAAAAAACACTTAATACTGTTTTGTTTTTTACTACAGTGGGAAGCTATGAAAGAGTTTGAAATTTTGTGAAAAACAAATGCTTAATAAGTGCTTAAAGAATTAACATTCATTTATCTTTCAAAACAAAACAAAAAAACTACTACAATCCAGAATACTTCATTTCCAACCATGCCAGATTACTGAATTATTGCATTTTACTTTGACATTTCTTTGACACACACACACACACACACACACACACACACACACACACAAAAGTTTGTCATGTCAAATGGCATGTAAAATTCCATCACTTTGAAACCCTTAACTCCTAGAAGTCTTACATGTAAAACCAAATTATAGAATCTGAATTAGAAACGGGTTTAGTCCATCTAGTCCGTCACTTTTGCAGATGGTGATACAAAAACCCAGTACAGTGCCTGAGATTGCATAACCAGTGAAAGAGGTAGTACTCGGACTCCAAGATGGGTGTTCTAGTCCGGGGCTGTTTTGTATGTGCCACTGAGATACCTCTTAAATAGGACTAGTTACCCTACTATGGTGTGTTTATTTTTTAGTGTGACATTTTAAAAATTGCTATGTGGAGAAAATGTAGCTATTAATTTGTGCTACTTTTTTCAAAATATTCAGTTATGCTCAACTAAGAATCTGAATTGATAAAACTGGTAAATGTGAGTTTTCAGCCAAAATAACTTGTTTGTAATTTTTAGTAAGAAGTAGTTCTATTGGACTAAAAAACGTAGAACTAGAAGAGACCTCAGAGGTCATCTAGCCCAACCATAGCCACTGAAGTTCAGAAAAGAGAAAGAAGCACCTGAAATCCCGATGGAAGAGAATAGAAGGATGTGTCATTTATGGCCAGTTTTTCAAGAATAATCTTTTAAGGAAGCTAAAGAAAAAAAATTAGCAAAGGTCAGATAAATTAAGTTGGGTAGGTTTATGGAAAAGTTTATTTGAAACAGGCATAATCATAGATCTTAGAACTAGAAGGGACTTAGAACTTAGTTGTGGGTATTCATGGTTTTTACATATGAAACAGCTGAGGTTCAAACCTTGTGTCTTGCTCAAGATCTCACCATTAAGAAGTGATGGAATAGAACCCAGAATTTCAACTCCCTCCTGCCTAGCGTATCCTAATTCATGAGTAGGTGTTCTTAACTTGGGGTCCATGGACTCCCACAAGGTATATGGATAGATTTCAGAAAACTTGTGGATTATATGGGGAAAACAATACATTAGCATTTGCTTCAATTATGAATATATGAATATTGGAGAAGGGTCCCTAGGCTTCACTAGACTGTCAAAGGGGTCCATGACACAAAACGGTAAAGAACCCCTGTACTAAAGAGTATGCTGTCTGTCCTGTAGTAAAGATTTAAGAGTTTAGCAGATTACCCAACCATTTGTTTTTGAGGGCAAGATTGTAAGACTACTAAAAATTTTTTTTAAAAGTGATAGTTTCTTTGAGACTGTAACTTAAAATGAATTTGTTACCAGGGACTAAAACAACACTAATTTTTTGGTGAAAAGTTGGCAAGGAAATGGGAGGTGTACGTGGAAATTATATTTTGAGCTGAATAAGGTCTCAATCATTGAAATTGAGCCTAAGTTACTTTTCATATTAGTTCTGAAGCATGGATTTCATAATAATAAATGCTGCCTTATTCAAAACAGTGAGAGCACAATGACATAGTAATGAGTATATGGATTTAAAGTAATTTGAAGGTTGCCTAAGTTATGATCACCAAGTGAAAAATTAGTTTGTCTAATTCATTATGACAAGGATATTTGTTTAAATGCCTTTTAATGTTACAAAAGTTTGGTTTTTTTGTTTTTTGTTTTTCAAGCATGGCTCTTGACTTTTGTTTGTTTTCTTTTAGCTGAGTGTAATTTTGTTGCCAGTGGCTTTTCTCTTTAAATGAATATGTCTTCTTCCTACATTTTATACCTGATAGAATCTGGGTTCTGTTTTATAAGTTAAAATTTGAAGATAGTTACTGTTTAGAACCCTTATTTTTTTTTTTTTAAATTACCCCCTTCCCATGCTCTGTAACTCTTCCTCCTCTTCTTTCTCTGCTTTTTTTGTTGCCTGATGTGCTTTGTCAGATTCTTTTTGTGGCCCTCAAGCTTATCCTAATACTACTCATGTGCGCCATGAGCCCTCTACTGTAGCCGGTCTATTTGGAGGTAGGTAATGGTATGTCTATAAAATAAACCTGTTATGTAGGTAATAGTTTTTTTCAAAGCCAAGTCCTTTAATTTGTTTAGGGAAATTTTTATTTATTTTATTTTTATTTTTTACTACTTTCTTTGCTTTCACAGACCTGTGGTTTGACCTGCCTTTTATTTGCCTTGGTTAAAAATGTGTTAGTTTTATGGATGACTGCCTACCATTTACACGTTTTCACGTTTTATTTTAAATACACATACTCAAAACAGTATCTTGTTTAAACAAATCTTATAAATATTCGGCCTTATGCATTAGAAATGCTTTAAAAAGTTTTCATACTTTTTATTTAGTCATATAATTTGATAAGCATGTGCAAATTTAACGTTCACTTCCTAGTCTGTTATTACAACAAAGCTGTGGCATAGGAGTTGTAAGGAGGGGGAAAGGAGAAACCATGGGGGAAGATGGTTAGAAAAGTAGGAAGCAAGTTTCATAAAATCATGGGTATTTTCATAAACTAGTTGTGCTTCCTTGCCACTCTGTCTATCAGACTTTAAACTCTGACAAGTTGCTGCTTTTGATTGAGTCAGTAAATGTTTGTTGGATACCTATTGTGTGCATAGCATTTTATCACTTTTGTTAGACTTTCCTGAAGTTTGGCAGATAATCAGACTTATTTATGTTCCCTCCCTTTGGGGTAGGAGTTACATGGGTTTAAAAGAAGTTAATTGTGGCATTTGGTAATACTACCTTAATTCTATACAGCATTTGACACTTTAAAGAGGCACTATTAGAAGGGTTATTTCATTTGAAACTCAAAAATATGGGAGTTCTGTTGCCATGGTAACAATCTATATTTGAGCAATTTCTCGAGGTAGGAATAGGAGGCAGAAGGATGGGCCCTGGACTTAAGAGTCAAGAATACCTGGGTTCAAATTCTGCTTCAGATCCTTAGTAACTCTGTGACCTTGGGCAAGTTGATTAAACTCTCTGTGTCTCAGTCTCTTCATTTGTAAAATAAGGGGGTTGGACTTAATGGTTTCTTAGGTCTTTTTCAGTTCAGCTTCTAGAATCCCAATTTCTGTCAGCTTTGCATGTAGTTTAAAAAAATCTGACAGTCCAAAAAGCTTTTCACTAGTCCTTTTCCATTGAACATTGGTATTTATGATTAGTGCATGGAATTCTTCCATTTCATGATATACACCTGATGAGTATGCACTGTAGAAACTTTTTAATAGGAATATCAATAAGTAGATTTTCTTTATACTAAGGAGTGAGAAGAATTTCAAGTAGTGTCATCTGAATACTTTGCAGCCAGATTAAATGATGTTACACATTTGAGATTTATGGAAGGTATATTAATATTATGTTTATCCATTATGTGAACTATTTGTGCCCGACCTTCTGAGCTCATATTGGTCTGATCAGCCAGTCAGACACACTGTATTTTGACCACCAACATAGTGATGTCATTTTTGTTCTCTTTGAGAATGAAGGGCAGCAACCAATTATGTTTACTTTGTGTGTTTGAGAATCTAAAATAACCTTTGAATATCCTTTTCTAGTGACTTTATAAAATAATGAGACTTAACTTTTAATTAAAATGCTGGTTCTCATTTACTATCCCAAAATGGTATATAATTTTGGAGATTTTGGCTGTCTTTCTTGAGCCTAGTTTAGCTTTGCTTCCATATTAGAGTTTCTTGATTTAAGGCATTATGTCTCAGAAAACTGTCCTTTTTCTTTATTCTGTGAATAATTGTAGGGGTTAATATTTAACTTTCACAGATTGGTGCCTACCGACCTTTAAAGATGGCCCTCTGCCCTCTAACCCCTGAGCTTATTGAAATAAGGAGATGAATAAGGTGTTGGTTCTGAACTACATAACATATTCTGACTTCTTTAAAGCTATAGAAATTCTCAGTTATATGTACTGAAAAGAGAATTGATTTACCTATGTGTTAATTTTAGCGTTTTGGAGCAAATAGGATGGAGATTCTACTTATAGAGTACATTTGGATGGAATTTATCTCTTGGCATATTTTTATAATTTCCATTAATGCCAGTAATGTCAATTAGCCATATTTGTCACTTGGAATATTTTAAAAGAGTCTGAATTATTCTCATATCTGTAGAGTAGGTTTTTTTTGTAGGTACATTTTCCTATCCCTTGCCAACACCACTCCCAATAAAATCCCACTTTGATGTATTTCTTATCTCTTCTGAGTCAAATGCACCATCTTGAATCTACAGGGTTAGGGTTAGGGTGACCCAGGAAATTTATGCACTTCTTCTGTGTATTATTAAAAAAAAATACATGCCAAACTGCTTTTGGTATTTAACCCAAGGCTAGAACCTATGTACCCACCCTATCCAAGGGTCTTAATCTAAAGGCTAAGTGATTGTTGAACATGGTTGTTTACCTCTTGTACCTATAGAATATTTATTACAGGTTATACACACATCAAGTGATGTATCACAGTATATGGGAACTTTTGACATAATCATTCAAATTAGCATGCCTCAATTGTCTTGAAATTTCTTGAACTATTCATAAGTCCCTGGCATGACAGTTTTTTTTTTTTTCCATTTCATTCTTTCTAGTCCACCATCATCAATATATTGACTTGAACTTTGGACACTTAAAATCATTTGCTTTGTCACTGTAGTTGAACAGTTTCTCTAACGCCCCCAAAAATGGAAAAGATATTTAAAATCATTGTACCATGGCCTTAGATCTTTCCTGATAATGTGGGTCCCCATTCTATATGGGGCATACATTACATCTTTTGTCATCCAGCCTCTGGATTTCCAATTCTTTCTTGCATATTTAGAGACTGAGTTAAAAGTACCTTGCAGGTGCTCTAGTACGATCTGTGTCTGAGTAGGCATTTCTTGTACAGTATCCTCAAGAAGAGGTCATCCAACTTCTCAGCTTTAATACCTCCAATGAAAAGCAATTTTCCCTTTCCTTTTGCCCTTCCCCCAAGGTAGCTTATTTCACTTTTAGATACTTTAGATAATGTTTTTTAAAAGTATCCCTTTATATCTGAACCTATATCTTTCTCTCTTCAGCTTTTACCCATTGTAACTGGTTCTGCTCTCAGAAACTAAGTAGAACAAGTCTCATTGTATGATAGCCCTTGAAATGCTGGAAGATCCCAATTATGTCCATTCTCAAGTTTTTTCTTCTCCAAGCTAAACATTACTTTTTTCTTTAACTGTCATTCTGGTTCCTCACCATTCTGGTTGCCCACTTCTGACAAGCTAGAGCATGTCCATTTCCCTTAAAGAAAATATATCATGTGACTATGGAATTATACAAGTCACAGAATCAAAATGTTAGCAGAAGGTTGGGGGAGAATACAAGAAAAAAAAGATTATGAGTTACCTATTTGAACATATCTCCTACAGTGAGTCAGACTATTGCTAGTCCTTGCTAAAACACTTTAAAGTGAGGCCCAGTGTGAATGGTGGCTCAGTCCATTCCCTCTTAGGCAACTCTGTGGTCAGAAAACTTTTGTTTGTTTGTATTGGAAAAAAAAAAAACAACCCTACCTCTCAGGGGCAACATAGGCAGTACTTGTCTACTTCCTCATTGATAGAACACTCCTTAAACTGTTTAGCCATCAAATCTCCAATTAGTCTTCTTTGCTTCTAGATGAACTCTGTACTTGTTGCTTTTGTGCTCTGCTTTACAGAGCTGTAATCATTCTGGCCACTTTTCTTTAAATGTGCTTTTGTTTTCAACAGTCCATTAAAACCATACACTTAACATTGTTGACACATTACTAATTAGTTTTGGCTCTATAACTTCTGCACTGATTTTGCTTACAAATTGAGTGCCCATATTGTGATATAGCAGCACTCTTAAGCAGAATTTAATCTACAGGAGATACATTTAGGTAGAGTAGTTTTTCTTTACTCAAGAAAAAACACCTCTGTTTTCATAACTACAGTCTAGATCAGGAGTTATTAAACTTTTGGAGTATATGTCATGGACTCTTTTACCAATTTGGTTAAAGCCTATGAACCCTGTCTCAGCATGATATTTTTAATTGCATAAAATAAAAATTATTGACAAGATTGCAAAGGAAACCAATTATATTGAAATATAGTTATGAGAATATATGTGTGCATGTGTATAAAAGTTCTTAATATATCTTTTGAATATGAGGATAAAGTCTGTGGTCACATATAATAAAGGGCTGTAAAATCAATCATTGAACAGTTTATGTTTTGCCCCAGTTATTGAACAGTACTACCTTGAATCTTAGTTACAGATGAAATGGATGTTTACAGCTGAGTCTTAGGCAAGCTACTGGAAATAGATGCATAAGCTGAAATGTGTAAGAAAGTGGTTGAGGCTGGGGATAGTTAGTTATATGAAGGTTAGTAGACAAAAGGGGTATGCGTTTCATTTATATTGATGAGTTTGAAACCTGGAGATTTTGCCACCGAATGCACTTGAACCACATTACTTCTTGGTGATGGAGGGGAATAGGGAAAACTTAGAATTTATGGGAATATTGTTGTTCACATTCCTGAAAGTCCCCTCGGGGTTGTGATAAATTGCTCTAGAGGGAAAATCCAAACATTGTACATACATTTAGCTTCATATAAAATTCTAGACAGCTCCAGGTCTGTTTACTTTTGAACTTCAAAACAAATTAAACATTTCTTAAGCTAATTTGACAAACTATAAACAAGCTACAACATAAGCACTATTTTGAGGGATATAGTTTAATAAAGGGAGCTAAACGCCTATTATTGCTGGTTTTTCTTTTCCAGCGAGATCCATTCTATATTGGAAAATATTGCTATATATAATCCCCACTAAAAATGGTAGTTTTGAAAAGATGTATTTTTGAAAGGTTTGGTTTTTATATTTTATAATGTTTAATAAAGAATTGAAAATGTTATGAAAGAATTTAAATTTTTTTTTTAAATTTTGGTTCTTCTCAGGGTTCACTCCTTCCCCAGTTGCACAGCCACAGCCTTCAGCTGGCCTTAATGTTGACTTTGAGTCCGTGTTTGGAAATAAATCTACAAATGTGATTGTAGATTCTGGTGGTAAGAGAAAATTTATACTTTATTAAAAGTACTACTATAAATATTCAAATTTCAGTTCTGTGAGAGTTAGCTTATTTTGAGGAAGTATAAAAAAGTAACTTCAGAAAAACCTTAATTTTGGTGTTACCTTCAGTTTTTAAGAATTAAACTGGGTTTATATGAAGAAATTGCCAGATCTTCTGCTAAGAACTTTAAAGAAATGTCAAGTTATTCTTTATCCCAGTAGATATTTTTCAGTCACTAGAAAGATCATTTTTCTCCTTTCCTGCCCTTATACCTTTATATCACTTTCCCTTCAAACACACACACCTAGTCAGTCAACAAGCTTTTGTTAAGTTCCTTTTATGTACCTGAGACAATGGAAATCACATTGAATGGGAATCAGAAGATCTAAATTGAAATCCCATCTCTGAATCTTAGCCTCTGTATGACCTTGAGCAAGTCAGTTAAGCCCCTTGGACCTCAGTTTCCTCATCTATAAAATGAGGAGAGTGTAATAGATGACCTCTGGGGTCCTTTTCCACTCTAAAATTATGATCTTAAATGCTATTTGCTGGTGTGTTTGTTTTACTCTAGCCTTGCATTTATCTCCTCACCAAACAGACCAACTTATTGACTCATTATTTGAATTGTACTTCATTCATGTGAACCTGGTCAGCTGATCACTGGAAATGATGTTTAAGATATCCTGCTTTGCTTCCCCTTCCGCCTTAATCTGTCTTTTCCTTTTTAGCCCTGTTTCTGAAGTAAATTGTAACTTCTTAAAATATAAGGCATGAGGTTTTATATTTAAAAAAAAAAGACCAAATAAGAAAACCTGAAAACATGTAAGAATATTTTATTTAAAAGATATGAAAAAAATTAAAAAACAAACAAAAATAAAAGATACGAAAACAACTTGGAAACTTATTTTAAAATACATTTTCCAATAATGTCCTAGGCTCTATAAATGGACTCTAAAATATAAATGACATCCATATAGCCCTTTCAGCACACATTTAAAGGGGCTCCAGCAGTTGTATTCCTGATTTTTCTAGGGTTTGAGTTGATGTGGAGGAGGAGGTTTGTTTTCATTTTTGTTTGAATGAACATTTCTTTATGGCCTACTGGTTTGTCTCAAAGACAAAACATTTACACATGTATGAGTTTTTCTATGTAGAATTATATATTATTATATATATTATATTAGATATATATAGACATATATGTGTGTGTGTGTCTGTGTGTATACATATATATATATACACACACATAAACTGAAAATAAGGAAAGCAAAACTAACTATTTTTTGGCACTAAGTAGTACTCCTACCATGTAGTAGACTTCAGAGGTGGTTAATAATTACTATAAACTTATGTGAAAGATCAGTAATTCCCTAGGTGTGGAAATCAGGTTATAACTTAGAAGATTAGTCTTAGGCAGTCTAAGTTATTGGCCCATGTTTCCACAGCTAGTATATATAAGGTTTGAGATTTGAACCCAGATCTTGCTTACTCCAAACCCATTACTTTATCCACTGGGCCATTCTATTTCTTATTAAGTTTAAGCTATTTAAATTCAATCGGTTGAGTTTTTTTCTCAAATTTATAATAAAACCAAAGCTTTAGTTGGGAAGTTAGTCCAACTTCTTTCCTCTATTTTATAAACAAGGAAACTGATGCCTAAAGGTAAAATGATTTGCCCTAAAGTATTGTACATAGTAAAAAGTCAGGATGTAAACCCATGCGTTGACTTCAAATTCATCGTTCTTTCTGTTGCGCTTCATTCTTTGGTACCAGAAATTTAATGCACTGTATTCATAGTTTAATATCCTTGAATATTTCACCTTTTGTCTAAATGAGAAAGGATGCAAAGAAGTAGATTAATCTGGCACTAGTCATATGCTACCATATTGTATGATTTTCTTATGAATCTAAGTAGTTCCATTATAACAACTATCAGCAGATCTTTTGAATTGGCTAGTGGGATTTGCTTTGCTTTGCTTTTCTTCCTGTCATCCTCTAAGAAAAATCTTAAAGAAGCAAATTGAATTTTTCTTTTTAGTACCAAGTTGACCTCTACTTTCAATTTCATATTCATCATTTGCTAAGTACCTTCTGTGTATTAAGTGCTAGGGATACAAAGGTAAATGACTACTCCAGCCTTAAGTACAGAGCAGCTAGATGGTACAGTGGATAGAGCACTGGGCTTGGAAACAGGAAGACTCACCTTCATGAATTTGGCTTCAGACACTTACTGGCTGTGTGACCCTGAGCAAGTCACTTAACTCTGTTTACCTTAACCTGAGTTCTTTATCTGTAAAAATGAGCTGGATGAAGAAAGGGCAAACCACTCCAATATCTCGGCCAAGAAAACTCCAAATGGAGTCACAGAGAATGGGACAATAACTTAACAACTTAAACCTTAAGTACCTGTACTCAGTGGAGCTGCTACTTTTTTACTAGACCTCTCAAGAAAGTTAAGTTATAGTCATTTTGGTGCAGTTTAAGCATCTCTTAAGCTAAGGAATACACTTGATGACCTCTTGGTTTATTATCAGCTTTGCTAATATTCTTTGCTAATAAAATCTACTTAAAAGAATAAATTTGCAAAGTCCCTTTGCTAAAAGAAAAAGAAAGAATTCTTAAGTACTATTTGTACTTCTTCATCTACCAGTTAGCCCTTTAAATGTCTTGGAAGAAGATATAAGGAAGAGAACTTTGTTTCAATTATCCTGGAGTTCCAGAAGGCTTACTCTGGAGGCAGTATATAGTCATTTGTCTGAATAATTCTTCCTTTGTCTTTTTTAAGCCTTAATAAGTAACTCTCTTTATCCATAAACCCTTCCCCTCTTTAAATTATTATATGTAAGAGAAAATACCGTGATTAGTTTCGTGTGACTCCACTTTTGGAGAGTTTAATGTACAAATCTTCTAAAAGAACTTTTCAAGAACAAGGAGAGCAAAAAGAGTTGCCTTTTAAAAGCTATAGTACAGTGAAGTTCCTTACAAATCCTATTTCGTTTATTTATAACTTTAAGGCTTTGATGAACTAGGTGGACTTCTAAAACCAACAGTGGCCTCTCAGAACCAGAGTCTTCCTATTGCCAAACTACCACCGAACAAGTTAGTGTCAGATGACTTGGATTCATCTTTAGCCAACCTTGTAGGCAGTAAGTATTTTTTTCCATTTTATGATAAATTGATTCATTTGGTAAGAGTAGTATTTAAAACTCTCTTCCTTATATCATAGATCTGGGCATTGGAAATGGAACCACTAAGAAGTAAGTTTTTCTTTTGTATATTTACCTCCATTTTACATATACTACTTTTAAAAACCTAATTTAGCTAGCTTTAAAAAATGAAAGGGATTTCTGTTTTACTTTGCTTAATCTCATTGTCTTTTGAGAAAATTATCTAAGGGAGTTTAATGTGGTGACTTGTGCTTTTTTAAAGTGATGTAAACTGGAGTCAACCAGGTGAAAAGAAATTAACTGGAGGATCTAACTGGCAACCAAAAGTTGCACCTACGACTGCTTGGAATGCTGCAACAATGGTAAGTAAATGAAGTTCATTATAGAGTGGTGCATGTATAATCTATAGTAAAATTCATGTACAATAAAAAAAAGTACCATAAGTGAGTTTTTAGATCTATTCCTAATATTAGAGAGTAGGGAGAGTTCACATAAATTAGAAAATAGGTGGTTTAACTTTATCAACCTCAGAATTTCTAGAATGCATTGTAGTATAGGTTAAATGGCTCTAAGTTAGCAATTTGAGTAGATATCAAAACTTACTCTACACAAATCTTTCCCTACCCATAACCTCCAAAAGAATTAACTGTGGCAAGATTGAGAGGAGAATTTTTTTTGTTAGAGGTAGTTCTACATTTAATCAACATGAAAATCTACCTTCTTCTTGTTATCATTATGGTCTCTTCTGCACAGGCTAATCTTTTTGGTTAGAACATGTTGCTAAAGAGGCCAAAGTCAGATGTCTAATGACTTTCCAAGCTGAGCTTTTTATAGAGAATCTTCACTTTATAACTACCCTTGTCATTTGGCCTGCTGTCTTGAGGATGATTGACTATTGAGTGACTTCAGTAAATTATTAGAAAAATAAAATATTTCCTACTGATTTACTAGTAGCAACATGTTCGTGTGAAAAAGAACAACAAATTTTATTGGTTTTTTTATTTTTTTATTTCTCAGAGAAAAATATGGTGTGATGGATAGAGAACTTTGGTTGAAGTCCTGCCTTTGATGTATAGGGGCTGTGTGATAACATTCTTCTCCCCCCCCCCCCCCGGGAAATCTCATAAATTCTTTGTATTCCAAGGTAGCTCTCCAAGTCCAAATTGCAGAAGAAATACCAACCTGAATAGAGAGAGTTTGCTCATCCTTTGGTAGAGAGAGTTTCCTAGATTAATGAAATTACAAATCTAATCCCTATCATAGTCCCTATACTTTCTCACTTCAAGATAATTCCTTTATTCAGTTTCTTTGATCTGTTGCCAGATTTCTTTGGTTTTAGGCATGTTTCAGCATGTGGTTGGATTAAAGACAAAAGCTAGTAAATAGTATGCTGAAAGTAAGCTGGAAAAGTCTTTGTTTAATATTGTTTGAAGACTCATCGAGGTTCACTAGTAGCAGATAATAAAATTTACACTTTCTGGAGGCTATGATTTTTTATTGGTAGTCAAACTAAATATACATAGGATTATATTCCAGTTTATCTGAAAGAATTCCCATTAACACAGATGAGAATTACCCCGTGACTGTTTCATATGGGAAGCTAATATAAATATTCATGTATCATAAAAGTGTTTTTCAGTTTTAAAATAATTTTACACCGTGCAGCTTCTTACAAATGTATATGGAATTAATACAGGCACTTAAACTTTGGCTACTAAGATGCTAACAATTCAGATCTTTTATACAGGTGGAAGTAATTTGTAATTCTTCCACTAATAATTTGTATGATGATATCAGTAGACTGGGAACAATCTCTTGCTTCCCTTTGCCCTTTTACTTTTCCTTCCCTCTCCCCCTTTCTCCTCTCTTCCTTTTGTCTTATGCCCTACCACCTCTCTCTTTCTCTTTTTTTCTCTCTCTCCTCCTTTCCTTATTTATTCCCTTTATGTTTTATCATACTAAATGTCATAGATTTTATTAAAGATTACTTGCAGTGTTGGAAATTTTTAGTACTTGAACAGAATTGCTGCTTGTAACATTTTTCTACATTTCTAACCTGTTCCATTAATACATAAACACTGTCAAGGTTTTAAAGCCTTTTAAAAAAAATTATTTATTCCTGCCGGCTATATGAAGTGTATTTGTATTCCAGACTCTGCTAGTGAATTTGCCAATTAATCTTTCCTTGCCATGGACATTAGCTGAAGGTTTAGTGTAATATGCATATGAAATTTACTGCATGGCTTCTGAATTTTAGACAACTGACAGATAGTGGGCTTTTTTCTTGTAAAACATGTAAACAAAAACAAAAAAAGAACATATAAACAGAAAAGTCCAAAGCAGAGGAAATTGTTTTTAACCTTGGCAGTGTTGGTTTTAATGTAGATGTCCCTTTGTTAAATTACTTGAATTATAAGCATTTGTATTTTAGGTAGATATTAAATGTACATGTGAACTAAAATGCTCTGTGTATTTTCTGTTGTGTAAGTACTTGTTCTAATCCAGTGTTATTGCATTATGTAATTGTTCTCCCTGGGGAAAACAGAATGGCATGCATTTTCCACAATACGTAAGTGACCAAAAAACTAGCCTTTTTGCAATAAAATCGGCATGTTATTAACCACTGCTGTAGCAGAATCTCATAACCTTCCAGCTATTACACATTTTTCATATTAAGATCTTCAATGTGCCAAAAAATTCCTTCTAGCATATACTGATTTCATGGGTATGCTGCAGACTTGATTCCAGTGGTGGCATGGGAAATATCAAAATTTTTTTTCTTGCTTAATATTCTGCCATTTGCTTCCAGATAGCTGGGTGTCTATTGTTTGTATGTGTCTGTGCTGCCTTAATGCACTTGATGAGTTCTGAATGAAGGGGGATGTTGATTGTGGTGGTGTGTTTAAAATAATAATTGCATGAAATCTCACAGGCTTATGCTGTATTTGACAGTTTGTTGACTTAACATGGCAGATCTTAATTTTAAAGTAGGGAGAGACCAATAAGTCATTTGTGCTCACTTAAATACTAAACTTTATTCAAAATAACCTGTATTTTAACTCATGCTTCATTTAACTTATACATCCATTTAAATTGCAGAATTCCATTTTTGTTTTTTTATAATTCCAGCCGTGCTATTGGTCTTTCACCTTTATGTAACATCAGTTTTCATTTTATGATATGTATAAGGTGATAAAATAAATATCTTCCCCAAAAGATTAAATACCCTGATTATATAATGTACTTATTTTTTTACAATAGAGTATGATATATTAATGAAACCCTAATTAAAAGGAAAAACAACTTTTAAAAAGCTTAATTTTTAGCATATAAGAAGTTAGGGGTTTTTTTGAGGTTTTTTTGGTCTTCCCTATCTCCCTCCCCTCCCCCCCAAAAAAGATGGCTTTTGTGTCACTAGTGAACAGGTGGCATACAAACCCTTTATTTGATAGTTGTGATTAATTCATTAATTAAATGCTCAATCACACCATTATAGTGCATAATAACGCTTTTAAAACATTTTAAATAACCACGAAGGTTACTAGCAACTTAGCTTTGAGCTAAATTCTGATTTTGAGAAGCTTATTCTTATTAATTGGTCAGAATACTTATGTTATTGCTGAATTAAGGATCTAACATTTAATTTTATCAGTCTTCTTAGACATACTTTTGTTGTACTAATAGGTCTTTATAATTAAGGGCTTTCAGAAATAACTTCATTTGTTATTTATAATCAAATGTAGATGGTTACTCTTTGGGTCGTTGTTTTATCTAAGGTTGAGTCTTTTCAGTTTGTAATTGCCTTTTGTTGTTGTTGTTGTTGTTAACTGAAAGGAAACTTTTTGCCCCCAGGGAAAAACTATAAATATTTGACCATTAATTTAAGACTCTGTGACCTAGTGGATAGAGACCTGGGTTCAAATTCTGCTTCTGATAAATATATATATATATATTGGTTTATGACCCAGGGCAAGTCATTTAATCTTTTATTGCCCCAGGCTGCTTTCCAGAACTGTAAGTTGCAGAGCAGGTACCATATTGGAGGAGGGAGATTGTTTACCAGGAATTTACAAGGAATTCCTTACTCCAGTTAAATTACACATACAGATCATTTAAAAAAAAAAATAGTTATCCCAGTTTTGGATGTTTATAAGTGCCACTTCGTCTTGGCTGTGTTAGCAAAGCTTTTTTTTCTTTCTTTCTTTTTTTATTTTTTACAATTGCTATTATTGTTGCCCTAAAATTGTACATAATTGAATCACTTCCTGGTTGTTAAATTATTTTTTTTCCCCTCCCTGCATTAGGCACCCCCCGTAATGGCCTATCCTGCTACAACACCAACGGGAATGATAGGATATGGAATAGTACGTATTCATTTGGATTTAATTTGCTTGGCAGGGGATAGGGAAGGAAGGGAATAAGCTCTTATATAGCAATTACTATGTCCCTGCAGGCACTGTGCCCAAGTACTTTTTGCAAATATTATCTTACTTGATCCTCACAACCTTCCTGTGAGGTAGGTGCTATTACTATCCTCATTTTACAGTTGAAGAAACTAAGGCAGACAGAGGTTAAGGGCCTTGCCAAGGATTGCACTGACAGTAAGTGTCTGAGGCCAGATTTGAACTCAGGTCTTCCTGAATCCAGGCCCAAAGCACCACCAGCTGCCTCTGGCTATATATTTCTATGTATAGATACCTATGTCTATATCTTTATATATAATATATATACATCTATATCTATCTATCCGTCTATATATATATATATATATGCTATCTGTATTGTTGCAAATGCCCTAACTATACAATAATTGTTCAAAAACTGAAATTTTTGTCAAAAGAACATTAATATCCTGTGTGTACTCTTTTAATAGATGGTGACATCCATGAATTTAATTTAGGAAGTGGGTGGTAGTGATTTTTAACAAATCTAAGTTACTATACTCTGGAACAATCAAGAGTTGATTCTGTAATAAGTGTTCTATAGATATTTTAGGCCTCCTGATATTTTTTTTCAGAGTGAGCCCTTAGGAGTTAACTTGAATTTTTCACTTTGTATTGAGGGCATGTGGCTAATGGGTTTAAGCACTATACTTTGATTTATACTGTATGTATGGAAGTACTTTGCTTTAACATGCTTAGGAGAGAGATTCTTTTCTTACATTTGTAACTTTTCCTGTGATTCTATAGCCAATAAAATTTAGAAATCCTTGTTCCAGTCAAGGCTTGTAATTTAGGTATTACATGTTTTATAAAAGTGGGGGTCTTTGAAAGACTTTCTTTGAGAGATACCTCGGCTTCTTTACCTTCTTGGAGTCTGTAGCTGCTATTCTATTGTATATATTCAAACTTAATTTTCCTTTGAACCAGACCAAAAGTACTATAGTATTTTTAATTCTTGTAGCTTTCTTTTTTAAAAGGGAGAAAGAGTCCACTGACAAATAATGTCCTCTAACTTTGATTTATTTTTAGCCAACTCAGATGGGAAATGTACCTGTAATGACACAACCAACATTAATATACAGCCAACCTGTCATGAGACCACCAAACCCCTTTGGCCCTGTTTCAGGAGCACAGGTAACGTAGGACACTTGATGTTATGATGACTGACTTCATCTGGGAGGTTTACCAAATTAAATACTTGTTTACTAATAAGAGAACTAAAATTTTTCTGTGGAAGGATTAGTAAAGCTCTTAGTAAATTGGTATTCTGGGGCTTAGAAGTATATATTTGGAATTTAAGAAAGATGCTTTTTGTTACTTATGCGTGGTTTTCTTGTATGAACCCAAATATGTCATTCATTAGTTTTACCCTCTATAATGAGGCTAACATTTTGAGGTATCTTCTTTCTTCCACCAAAGGATAATATGCACAGTAACAGCATTTAGTCCATTTGGTCTGTCTTAAGTGAGGGTCTTGATATATCTCACGTTGTTGATCTCTTATAACCTTAACATATAACTTTAACCTGTTTGGCTAAAATGGTTAAATTCTATAACTTCAGTCCTTTGATTTCCTTTTTGTGCTTTCAGAGAAAACCATGTGACTGACTGAATTCCAAACTATTGCTGTATAGTTTTCAAGTTTGCTTCCTTTTCAAAGTTCTGTGGGTTTTTTTGTCTTTTGTTAATCTTATAGGTAATGCTTTTAAGCCTTGAGAGTTGTCTACATACATTATCTTTCCTTGTTCGTAGATGTTTTCTTTTGTGACAGAAATTTAGCTACCTAACCCTACATGATAAATAAATGTTCTTTATGCTGCTTCTTCTTGCAGATCAGCATGATCTGTGAGCACAGTTCCCCTCTAGCATTGGCTAATTTACGTACTGCGTCTTTTCTAATTGAAGGATGCATACATTTTATTATTGGTCATGTGTTTAAATTCATATTGTTAAATTTGAATTGAATTTCTTTTTTCTGCCTCTACAGTTCTTTTCTCTTTTTTGTTCTAAAAGGACAGTGTAATTAGACATTTAACTGAATTTAGTCTTTATCCTTAAGAGGTAAAACTCAGATTGATTTAAATTAATACTTTGCTCTAAAATATCTTCATTCTGTTTAATATTGAAGTTAATTTGATCAACTTGGTCTTTAAATTGACTTTTTCATTTGTAGCATTTGAATTAATTTTCAAAATAAGTTTCACAAGAAAGCTGGATATATTGCTATAAATTGTCTGGAGTAATTGAAATTTTAGCTCGGTTTCCCTTGTTCCCCCCACAAGTTTATAGTTTTCATTAAGCTTTTTTTTTTAAAATATAAAAGTATTTGACACTCTCTGCCTTCCAGTAGTGATAGTACTGATTTCCATTTTAAAATGTTGAAAAACTAAAGTAGCCATTTTACTCCAGTAACTTGTTAAAAATATATATAATTTTCCCTTCAATCAGTTTATCCATCCTTTATTATTATATAGTCATAAAATTCCTCATTCTTGTCTTTTAATCTCTGATTCTTTATCTTTAACATTATTTCTTGGGTCTTTTGGGTTTCATTAAAAAAAAAAAGTGATCCATCTCTTCATTCAATAAGCATTCATTAATAGGCTGTTGTAAGACCTTGCACAAAGGAGATACAGAAATGATACTCCCTGTTCTCAAGGAATATATAGTTTAATATGAGACAAAAGACATACACAAATAGCTAAAGCAGAGTGAAATGTGATAAAAGCCTAATAATAGAGGTAAGAACAAGATGCAGTGAGTTCGTTGAAAAGATGTATTACTTTAATGTTCCAACTCAATTTCAAATTGTATTATTTCTATTTTCTATCTTTTGGGGGACCCAGAGAAGATCACAGATTTGTGTCAAAAGGAAATATTTAAATCAGAGCTGAGAAATTTATTCACTACTGAACCTAAAATGTAGTTTCAAATGTTTGGCACAACGCATTCCTAGAAGCACTTCTACATGCTATCTTTCTTAGAAGCAGCAGAGTGCATCAGTGAGTGGAGACTGCATCAGTGTTGTAGCTCAGGCAGCATTCTTGTATTGTATTACCCTGCCTGTCTGTTGAGGGGGTATCTTTCAGTGTTTTCTGGGCTTCTTGCTGGAATGGCTAATCAGACCTAGGTGTTTAATGCCACGTAGCTCCTGTAACTGTCAAGAATTTCATTGGCATTTTAAAATATGTTCTACTTTGGAGTCTCTGCATTAGTTTCCTTCTTTAAGTGTTCTTAAAAGCTAACCTTAGAATTCATTTATTTGCATTTATACCAGTATTTCTTAAACCTTTTGCCTTCTGAGTTGCTAATAATCTCATAAAGTCAAAAAATGTTCCAGGCTTTCAGTGTTCTTAAAAGGGTAAGCTGGAGGTGGGGTGAATAACAGGAACATGTTTTTGTGATTTATTCTAGGAAAGGAAATATTACATTATCACCTAGGAAATAAGGCAGTAACAGGAGAATAAATCTACTAAGGATTGGCAGCTTCCCTAAAACATTGTTGATTTGAAAGAGAACCCTCCTAGGGAAGGAAAAGAAGACTAGGAAAATTCCACAATAGTGTTGGTAATGTGGATGAATAAGACTTTATTACCACCATGTGGTCCATCTTCTTCCCCTTTACTGACCCTTTTACTTTAGAACTCATTAAATGTATTAAGGCAATCCAGAAATGTGCAGTTCTTACTTTTCATCCACAGAGTCACTTCTGAACCTATTGGACATAATTATGTCCTGAATCTGCCATTTAGTAACTCTGTGACCCTGGCCAAGTCACTTGATCTCTCTGAGCCTCAGTTTCTTATGAAAATGGAAATACTTGGCACTGTCTTTTCATAAGGTTGTTGTGAGGAAAGTATTATATAATGTAATCTATTTTTGTTCATTTCCACAGTGTCTAACCTATTTCAGGTTTTCTGAGTGTCTTATACTTGAACAATCTCCCATTTAATATACTCTGCCCCCAAATGCTAGAATAATATTCTGTAAATGGTATTTTCATTACTTTTCCCTCCTCTGATTAAGCCTACAATGACTCCCTGTTGTATTGAAAGTATATGTATTATTATATTCCAGGCATTCAATCAACTTTTCTTTTTGTCTTCCTGTTTCTTCACAAGGTTCTACTCTAATAGTAAGAAGTGAGCAAATGAAAAATAATAATGTACTTGATTTCCACAATTATGTGAATATCATAGACTTTGTTTCTCACTCTCCTGCCTCCCTTATTCCATCCAAGGCCATCTTTATTGTTTGTCACTATTTTAAAGTTGCTCTCTAGCAGGCTCTTTTTAAATAGCAAAGGACTGCATAAATGTGAGCTATTAGTACTAATAATTTTCACGAATAATTGATACTAGTAATTTTCTTGCTCACTTCTGTGTAGAAGATATGGTCTCTATACTCTTCTTTTTCTCTTTGCTTTTTTCTTCCCAATTTAAAGGCCACAATGCTCTGTCCATTTCCTCAAAGACTTGGTTTACGGGCAGCTAGGTTGGCGCAGTGGATAGAGCACCAGCCCTGGGGTTAGGAGGACCTGAGTTCAAATTCGGCCTCATACCTATAACACTTACTAGATGTGTGATCCTGGTCAAGTCGCTTAACCCCATTGTCTAGCAAAAAAAAAAAACAAAAAAAAAACAGAACAAAACTTGGTTTAAAAAACTTAACCTCCTCCAAGAAACCTTCCCTGACTGATTTCACTCCTTTCTCATCTTTCCCTTCCCCCACATTCACTCAAGCAAATAATCTAAAACGTTTAGTGGTGGTATAATGGTGAATGTGAGCATGGAGGGCTGACCAGTGTTCACTGAAAACAAAACAAAAAACACAACAGAGTTCTCAATGGAAGAGAGTCAGATATCAAATGATATTTTGAGAAACTTTAAGTGAAGCAAGAAAGATAAAAACTTTTCACACCTAAAGTGATTTGATTTGATTATTGAACTCCTCTTTTGTATATTAATAACACTTCAGATGAAGATAGTTGTGTTCTCCTTGAGCCTTTTTCTCCAAGCTAAACAACTCCAGTTCCTTCAACTGATACCCTTAAGAATAAATATAGAATAAACCTTAAGGTCTTACACAACCTACTTCTCTTCCTCTAGAAGCTTTCTAGTTTATCAATATCTTTCCTAAAATATGGTGCCTAATACTAAAGAAAATAATCAAATGTGATCTGAGTAAGGTTTAACAGTACATCAGAACTATCATATCCTTTTTCCTTAGAAGTTTTTCATCTCTTAATATAGTGTGATATATTAGCTTTCTTGACTGGCCTATCACTATTATGCATTTCAATGAACCAGAAGCCCTATATCTTTTTCAAATAATCTGCCCTTTGGTTTCCTTATCTTGTACTTGTGAGGTTGGTATTTTGAACTGAAGAATAAAACTACATTTATTCCTGTTAAATTTCATCTTAAAAATTTGGCCCAATCTTTTAGCCTGCGTGGGTCTTTTTAGATCTTGATTCTGCCAGTCAATGTGTTAATTATCTGTCCTGCTTTTGTGTCAACTGTAAATTTAATGAATTGTACTATCTATATATGTCTTTACCGAAGTTGCGGATAAAATGTACAGAACTAAACACAAGTCCCCAAGAGACTTCCTTTCAAGTCCATCTCAAACCATTCATATTTGAGTCTGGCTATTCAACTAGTTTCGAACTTAAATAACTATGTTACTGTCCATGCCTTTCCATTTTTTCCACAAGAAAAATACAAGAAAACTTCTTCTTGTCTGATCCTCAGTCTCAGCTTCATTGTTTCCATTTTTCATAAGCTCATTATTTTTGGCTGAGGTATCTGTACTTAATTTTAAATTCCCTTCTGTTGGTCTAAAATATAACTATTTTCTAATTTTTTTTCTTTATGTATCACCTCATATAACTCCCATGAACACTACTTGAAAAATTGAAGTTGGCATGAAAGATATTCTCTCTTGTACAACCTCATCTACTTAGTTGTGTTGCTGATTAGACTGTATTGGAATGTTATCACTGACTGGTGCCATTACTGAGCATCTTCTTGCCTACCATCAATAAAGCACTTTTGTTAATGTGTAGAAGTCTTGCTAATTTTCTAATTTCTATGAAGGTATATGTGACTTGTAGAGACTTATCAACCCTACAT